AAGCTTTGACACAATGGCCTGCTGCAGGTTCCCTGCTGGCTATGACTTCATCTCCTTTGGTTAAAACACATCTTCCAATTCTAACACCATTTTTCACAACGTTTCTTGATCTCAGCATCCAACTCTGGCAGGAATTCCCTGGAACTCCAGAGTCCTCCCTGGCAGGTAAGAAGTAAACTCCAGGATTTCACCACTCAACATGGCTCTTGAAGTCCAATGTAATAGACTCAGCCCAAGCTCTGTAGCAGAACTGCAGCAGCAGCATCCTTCCCTATGTCAGAGAATCCCACAACCCACCCCTGAACCTTCCTTCTACTCCTGATTGCATTGTTCCATTCTCCAAATCCAGCAGAAACAAAGACCCAGGAACCAAACTGGGAAGGAAACCAGGGAGGCAAATTGCTGATTTTCACCTTTTTTCTGCTTTTCTAAATCTATCCCCGAGGCTCATCCCCATATCTGGAAGAAAACACAACTACTTCTGGAGCCATTTCTTCCCTCCTGCACTAATCTAAAAAGGATCACACAGATTTCCCCATCCACATTTTCATCTCATAATTCATTGATCTGTTCCTACTTGAAACTCCAGCAGTAATTCTCTGCAAACAGAGGCTATCCTTACCAGAGAAGCAAAGACACTAGTTGCACATTATCAATTCTGCATCCATGCCACTTGTCCTATCTCCAAATCTCACCCTCAGACCTTTGTCAGACATTCTGCTATTGACTATACTCACTCATGGTCTACTTATAAGTCGATAAAAGCCATGAAGACAATGATAACAAAGCTACAATCTGTAGAAGCACAAGGGGGTTGAAACAGATATGTCTTCTTTAGGAAGGGGAATAGAATAAACAAGTATGAATAGATCGTGCAGGGTGAATAGAGATGGGGTGCTAGGCAGGAATACAGGTTGAGACTGATAAAATTAATGGGCATTTGTGGGGTAGCATTGAAACCAAATTCAGTAGGAACTTCCAGAAATATAGATGAAAGATATCAAAAAATATTGCTAAATAAGAGGGGAATCATAGTCCAAAATTTCTTTCTTTTATGACCTAAAACAGATTTCAGTATAAAAATTTTGTTCCAACCAATTGAATGTTAGCAAAGTGGACCAAAGTATATACCCAAACATGCCTGGCATTTGCCACTTCTACTCCTTCCTCTCTGTGAACAGAAAATAAAGTTTAATTACTGAAGACAATCATGATATAAATCATTGAAAATGCAGACATAGGCCTAGTGCCTACAGAGAGCACTAAACCCCTATTTTCTTTGGTACAAGAATAATGTCTGCATTTTAAACAGAACCATATGCCAACTCAGCCCAAACAGCCTTTATCTTCAATGGTATTCTGCCAGTAAGATAAGGTAGGACAAAGGTGGAACAAAGATTGATGGAGCAAGTAACCAATAATTGATTTGAATTAAGGACATTTCTCCAGATGAATACCATACCTGACATTTCTTAGATGACCTTAAACTTGATACTAGAAAGCCCATTTGATTAGGATAAAACAATATACTACTAATTTAAAGAAAGAAAAATGTAGCAATAAAATGACTCCTCATGACATTCTGCAGTACTTGTAGGTAAATGTGTTTTTTTACATGTTATCAGGGAAGGTTTCGCCTAAAGAATATCCAAAAATATATAGAGATACTGTCAGAAATTCAACAGTGAGTCAGAGACCTTGAGCACTCAACTCTAAATGAGATCCTTCTATCGAATACCTCCCCTCCATAGCTCAGGAAATCCTAGAGAAGAGGAGGTGGAGATAGTGTAAGAGCCACAGCGATGGAAAATATCAAGAAAACCAGGCTCTCTAAATGAACATGGGGGAATTTCATATGAACTCAGAGAGAATGATGCAACAAACACAGGGACTACAGAGGTTCATTCAAATTTTCTGTGTAAAAATTTTGACTTCTGATTTAATGGTTTTATGGGATTATTGAGCTTGACACTGAGTTGATCTTTGATTATTATGCCTATTCTTTGATTTTTTGTTCTGTTGTTTTATTTATCT